GGGAGGGCGGAGGCACGAGTTGCGACGATAGAGTTCGCTCGAGTTGGGAAGAGAGAGAGGATGGAATGTGAGAAAAGAAGAGAGAGGAAAAAAAGGATGGAATTTGAGTAAAGAAGAGAAAGAGAGAGAGAAAGGATGGAATGTGAGTAAAGAAGAGAGAGAGAGAGAGAGAGAAAGGATGGAATTTGAGGAAAGAAGAGAAAGAGAGAGAGGGGGGGGATGGAATGTGAGTAAAAAAGAGAGAGAGAGAAAGACGATGAATTTGGGTAAAGGAGAGAGAGAGAGAAAGGATGGAATGTGAGTAAAGAAGAGAGAGGGAGAGGATGATGAAGAGAGAGAGAGAGAAAGGATGGAATTTGAGTAAAGAAGAGAGAGAGAAAGAAAGGATGGAATGTGAGTAAAGAAGAGAGAGAGAAAGAAAGGATGGAATGTGAGTAAAGAAGAGAGGGAGAGGATGATGAAGAGAGAGAGAGAAAGGATGGAATTTCAGTAAAGAAGAGAGAGGGAGAGGATGATGAAGAGAGAGAGAGAAAGGATGGAATTCATTTGAGTTAAGAAGAGAGAGAGAGAGGATGGAATGTGACTAAAGAAGAGAGAGAGAGAGAGAGAGAGATAGAGAGGATGGAATGTGAGTAAAGAAGAGAGAGAGAAGACGAAAGTAAAAGATGATAGTTGTCTATAGTTGCGATTTAAATAAAAAGGAGATGAGAAAGACACAAGGGAGGGAAGGAATACACAAGGCAAGAAGAATTATAAGAAAAAAAGAGAGAGAAAGAATGCAAAAATTATGCAGAAGGGCAAAGAATGACGAGACAGAATACTGTGTAAAGAATACTGGTGATGGAGAAATATGAAGAATATTGAAGCTTTTGTCTGTAATGTGGAGTGGAAACTTTTAAGAGTGAGAAAATATGAGTTAAATAAAATAGTAAACACTTGGGTAATCAACATAACAGCATAGTATTGGAAATACACACACGCACGCACGCACACAAACATACACACACACACAAACACGCACACGCACATGTAAACATATGTGTGTGTGTGTATGTGTGTGTGTGTATATATATATATATATATATATATGTATATATATATATATATATATATATATATATATATATATATATATATATATATATATATATGTGTGTGTGTGTGTGTGTGTGTGTGTGTGTGTATACATATATATACGTATATAATATATATATATATATATATATATATATATATATATATATATATATATATATATATATATATATATATATATATGAATATATATACACACTAAATCAGAATGAATAAAATGGAAGCAAAACAGAATCATTCCAGATTATAGATAGGAAAAGACAATGACAATACGAATCACAACTGAAGATAAATAAACATAAAATAAAAGAAGAAGAAAAATATTCATCATTTCCCGTGCTGACAGCCCTCCTCCTCCTCCTCCTCCTCCTCCTCCTCCTCTTCCTCCTCCATCCTCCTCCTCCTCCTCCTCCTCCTCCTCCTCCTCTTCCTCCTCCATCCTCCTCCTCCTCCTCCTCCTCCATCCTCCTCCTCCTCCTTCTCCATCCTCCTCCTCCTCCATCCTCATCCTCCTCCTCTTCCTCCTCCATCCTCCTCCTCCTCCTCCATCCTCCATCCTCCTCCTCCTCCTTCTCCATCCTCCTCCTCCTCCATCCTGCTCCTCCTCCTCCTCCTCCTCCTCCTCCTTCTCCATCCTCCTCCTCCTCCATCCTCCTCTTCTTCCTCCTACATCTTCCTCCTCCTCCTCCCTCCTCCTCCTCCTCCATCCTCCATCCTCCTCCTCCTCCTCCTCCTCCTCCTCCTCCCTCCTCCTCCTCCTCCTCCTCCATCCTGCTCCTCCTCCTCCTCCTCCTCCTCCTTCTCCATCCTCCTCCTCCTCCATCCTCCTCCTCTTCCTCCTCCATCCTCCTCCTCCTCCTCCCTCCTCCTCCTCCTCCTCCTCCATCCTGCTCCTCCTCCTCCTCCATCCTCCATCCTCCTCCTCCTCCTCCTCTTCCTCCTCCTCCTCCTCCATCCTACATCCTCCATCCTCCATCCTCCATCCTCCATCCTCCATCCTCCTCCCTCCTCCGCCTCCTTCGTCCATCCTCCATCCTCCACCCTCCTCCTCCTCCTCCTCCATCCTCCATCCTCCTCTTCATCCTCCTCCTCCTCATCATCATCATCATCATGAGTTCGGTGATTTAAGCAGGAGGAGGAGACCAAGACGGCGCAGTCTTCCCGCGTCCTTGGTAGGATCAGCACCATGGAGTACGTCTACATTTATTTATTTTTTTATATTTATTTTTTTTAGGGGGGGGGAGGGGGGGATTTCTGAGTGATTGGTATATTATGGTAAGTGATTCTTATTATTCGCAGTATCATTATTATTATAGGTTTACGTCGTGTTGTTTTAAATTTGATAATATTATCTATAACGATAATGATGGTAGTAATAGCATCAACAACAGCGATAAAAATAAGAATATCAATGGTAGTGATAATAATGATAATAATAATAATAATAATAATAATAATAATAATAATAATAATAATAATAATAATGATAATAATAATAATGAAAATCATGATAACTATAAAAATAATAATGATAATAATAATAATAATAATAACAATATTGATAATGATGATAATATTGTAATATTTAGATACTAACAACTATAATCATAATGCAACGATGTTGGCAATGATAATGATGATAACAAAAACTATGAGAGTGATAACGATACATTCTCTTTTAACAGTATAACAGTAATGGTGATGATAACATTGGTAATAATCACAGTACTAATAACGGTAATAGTAACAATAACTGCAATGATAATAACAATAGTGACATTAGTGATAACAGTAATAACTAAAGTTAATATCCATAATGATGGTAATAACAGTAATAATTATATTAATGCTGTAACAACAAAACCTGTTCTTGCTACTACTACTATTACTGCAACTACTACTGTTGCTACTAATAATGATAACTATAATAAATTCTAAAGATGATGGCTGCAGTTATTATAAACAGGAATATAACCAGTTACGACAGGATTACCAGTAGTATCATAACTAGCATTATCATATCAATTATCATTATAAATGTTAATGGTATTATCATTTCTATAATAATTCTAATAGTGATGATAATATATGTAATAGTAACAACAGTAATTAGTATGAATGTGACAAAAAAATTAAAGGTCTTGCACATTATCATAGTATTATCGACTTAAAGGTATTTATGAGACGAAACTAAGGACCTAACCTTGAGAAAACTTCCCGAACATTATTATCATTGTTGTTATTAATAGGCATTATTATTATTATTATTATTATTATTATTATTATTATCATTATTATTACCATCATTCTTATCATTATCATCGTTATTATCATTATCATCGTTATTATCTTTATCGTTATCATTGTCGCTGTTATCATTATTGTTATCATTGTTGTTGTTATTGTAATTGGGATTACTATTATTATTATTATCATTATTATTATTACTACTACTGGTAATGATAATAAGGATTATTGTTATTATCATTATCATTATCATTATTATTATCTTTACCATTACCATCATCAATATCATTGTCATTAATACTAGCATTACCGCTAAATTATTATTATCATTATCATTTTTGTTGTCATTATTATTTCTTTATTATCATTAATATACTAGTACTATTATTATTTTATCAGTACTATTATTATTTTATTATAATTATCAGTATTAGTATCACTAACAGTATCATCATTATTATTCTTATTGTCATTATTATTATTACAATTAAAATCATTATCATTTATGGTATCAGTAACAATATTAATATCGTTATCGTTATCATTACAGTCCCTAATCTCATTATGATTATTGCTATTATCATTACTACTATTATTAATTTCATTATTATTACTATTATTATCATTATTATTATCCTCATATTTATTATTATTATCATTATTATTATCATCATATTTATTATTATTATCATTATTATTACTATCATTATTTTTTCTATTATCTTTTCTATTATTTTTCTATTATTCTATTATACTATTTTCATTATCATAACTATTATTAGCATTATCATGTTTTTTTTATTATTATTACTATTATTATTGTAATACCTTTATTTTCACTATTATTTCCATTATTTTCATCATCATTATTATTATTATCATCATCACCATTATTATTACTGATATCATTATCTGTATTACTGTTGTTATTACGATCACCATTAACCATTATTGTTATTATCATTATTAGCATTATTAGCATTCATACTATCATTCTCATTATCAGTATCATTAATATTATTATTATCATCGTGGTGAGAATGGGTAGTAATGACAACCATCATTATTATCAAAGTAAGACTGACAATGCTAAAAAATAGCAATAAAAATCAGAAAAATAATGATGATAATAATAATAAGAAAAAGAAGAACGAAAAAAATGTTAATAATAATAACGATGATAGTAATGATAACAATAATAATGATAATGACAATAATAATAGTGATAATAAGAAGAAAAAGTGGAAGAATGATAATAATGATAACTAATATTAAGAATGATAATAATACAGTAGTAATGATGATAATGATGATAATGATGATGATGATGAAGATGAAGACGATGATGTAGATGAAGATGATGATGATGATGATGATAAAACAATAATAATACTGATAGCAACACCAAAACAATAATTATAATAACAAAGAAGATGATAATGATTATAACGATAGTGACAATGATGTTGACAGTAATAATAAGAATAACATTAATGATAACAACGATGATCATGATAATAATAATAAATGTCCACATTACTGCTATAACCATCATAACGATAATAATAGTAACAGCAGTAGTAGCGGTAGCATTAGTGATAAAAAATATACTATAAATACCCACAATTACAACAATTACATAATGACCAACAGCCTGA